GCTGAGCCCAACCCCACCCCACCCCACAGCTCTCTTGGGTGCTGTCGACACCCACCCTGAAGCCCCCGCCTGGTGCAGCTGCGGGCGCTGAGTGCTGCCCCAGGTGCCTGGACCCGCTGCACGGTCTGGGGGCACCCCCATGGCCCAGGGGATGCGTGGCGGGTGTGGGAGAGACTGGCAAAAAGTTTTTCCCGCACCTTCTGTGGTCCCACCAAAATGCTGCTGTGAAGGTTGGCCGCTGGGTGTCCCTGCAGCCCTGTGCGAGGATCCAAGTGGATGGGGGGCTGCCATGAAGCGAGGTGGCTGCCAGGAGTACCACAGGCTGCAGTGGGATCTAGCCCACCCCATGTCCCCAAACGTGCTACCCACCCCTAGGAGGGCACCAGTAACAGAGCAGAGACCCCATAATGGGGGGCCCACAGCTCTGTTTGCCCTGGGTCCCCCATCCCTCAATCCATCCCGACACGGAGCAGCTCCCCGAGTCACGCTGGAGCGCCAGGGGCTGCCTGCAGGGCAGGAAGCCTGGGCACAGACCACTGCTGCAGACACCGACACCGTTAGTAATTCAAGGTTTCTTTATTTTATTTTATTTTAATTTATTTTTTTTTCCGTGGCGTGAATCACTGCCGCTCTGTTGCTACACATCCAACTCCCTGCTCCAGGGCTCAGCCCCAGCTCCCACCCCGGCATCAGCGCCTGCTGCCTGCAGCCGGCCACTGTCCCCACGCTGCTGGGGAGAGGCCAGCTAGGGGACAGGGACACATGGCCACCGCCAGCTCAGCCAACACGCTGCCAGGGCCCTTGGGGCCAGCCCCAGGCCAGGCACAAGGTCTCTGTTGCTTTTTGGTGGGAGCGAGGGGAGTGGAGCCACCATGCTCTGGCCGGGGCACGGACCAGGCAGCAGCACCCTTATGGCCAAACTCTGCTACTAGGACAATTTTTTGCGATCCCACAGGGGGCCCAACCACGGGTGATGCACAGCCCCAGGCAGCAGGACGTGGCCTGAACGCTGCCTGCTCTTCTGGAACCCTGAGCTACACAGAAAACAGAGCGTGGTGCACTTACGCAGCCCCAAAAGCACAGAAAAGGGAGAGAGGTGGCCAGGCTCAAGGGGTAATGGGCATCACAACCCTCCCCAGGCAGCTGCCTGCACATCCACGTGCATAGTGACGGTGGAGAGGGACACGGGGAGCTCAGCACCATCCGGGAGGCTGAGCTGGGACCAGCACAGCTGATGCTACATAGAGTTGGCCAGTGGTGCAACTGAGTGCATGTGGAGGGAATGAGGAAGGGCGCTGCGATGATGGGACATTTGCTTCTCACTGTCCCAGGCCACAGCAGTGCCAGAGACACGTGGCTGGAAGAAGCAGAGGGCTGTCAGTGGTATCCTCAACCCACAAAGCCGTGCGATGGCTCCTGCCTGCTGGCAGCGAGCGAAGCTGTCCTGTCCCCCGTGGAGATGGCTCCTGTACCCAGGGGGACCGCATCTGTCCAGTGCACGAGGGGACTCTCCGAGCGGGCAGAGCTTCACCAGCACGGGCCACGGAGGTGAGCACAGCTCAGCGTTTGGTTCGAGCAGCCGCTCCCGAAATCCACTTGGCCCGATGAGCACCTAACAGTTCACAGGCTCGCCAGGCAGAGAAAGTCCCATTTCTCCACGTTCAGTGTATGGAGGGGCCGCCAGCTCCTGCGAGGCGACCCACCGAGGTAAGGACGAGAGGTTTGCTGTGGAAAGCACGTCCCTGCCGTTACAGTGGGGTGACGGACAACAGGGCCTCGGAGGCAGTCAAGGGATTGTTAAATTACACGCAGACACACACACGCAGACACACACAAACTCTTCTGTAAACCAGACTCCAGAAGATCCCACAGATCCTCGGCTGATCCCACGTGCTGGATGTGGCATCCTTACATGTTCCCGCGGTACGTGATGTTGGTGAAGGTAGATGTAGCCTCTTTGTATAAAGGGTTGTTGCCCTGGAAGAAGAAGAAAAAGAAGGAAAAAACGCATCATCAGTTTGTGCTTGGCATCAGCATTCGCTCTACTTTACAGCTGGGGAAACTGAGGCACTATTTCAGCATCGAGCGGTGGATCCGTGTCTCCTCTCAAGGCTTTGGCTATGCAGCTTAATGGCTCCCCATAAGGTTTCATGGGGAAAAGCTGCTGTGGAGGAGAGGAAAGGCATCAGAAGCTCAGGAGTAGAGTGGTTTCCTGAAATAGCCACCCCATCCCACCCCACCCCATCCCTTCCCTCTGGGGAGGTTGAGGAGAGGGGGGGGACGACAGGCACTGGTGCCATCCCAGCCCCCTCCCTCGTGTTCCAGGTGCCTCAGCCCTTCCAGCGTCCCGTGGCAGGAGGGACCTTCCACCTCGCTCACGGGATGGAAACACTGGTGTGGGCAGTGAGTAAGAAGCTCATGCTGGTGACAAGTGCTTGGGATACGCTGGAGGTGGGAAAAGCTTCTGGGACATCTGCTATTGCCTGTGCACAGCCGCTGGGACCACAGCGGGCTCAGGGAAGGGTTGTCTGGGCTGGCAGTGTCACCGAGTCCTGCCCGTGACACCGTGCCATGTTTCAGAGAGGGATGGGGCAAGCTGGTCCCTAAGGACCATGTCCCAGGACCACAGACAACAACTGAACTCATGTACTGGGAACACTGGGATCCGGATTCACTCAGCCCAGGGGCTGTGGGGTTCAGGGACTCCTGACCCGAGCCGCTGGCCCTCACCGTGTCCCACTTGGCCCTGGCCTTCTCCTCCTCGAAGCGGGCAAACTCTCGGCGATCATGGATGGTGATGAGGAGCTTCCAGATGAGCAGGGCAGCGAGGCCGATGAGCAGGATGGCACCCGTCACTGACAGCAGGACCACCAGGATGTCCGGCCCCTTGGGGCAGTCTGGCAGAAGGAGGATGGCAGGGCTGAGGGAGCTCAGCACCCCCAGGGCAATTAAAAGCAGCTCTGGGGCTGCCTAGCCAAGGGTACACGGAGCTCTTCAGGTAATCCTCCCCTGTTAGGGAGTAGGAGCCTCCACCCGTGAGCACAGTGTACTCTAAAATGTAGGATCCCATCCATGAGGTGCGTGCGCTGAGATCCTCAAGATCCTGTCTACAGGCTGGAGGTCTGCACCCAAGTCTGGAGCAGTCCAGGTCAGGGGCATCACAGGTCCCACCCACGGTGGGGCAGGACACTGGAGGCCAAGTCTTTGGGCTGATGGAAGTTCATCCCCAAACCACCAGCCCGGCTTACACCCCACACCGCATCGGCTCTCCAGCTGTGCGTCAATGCTGTTCCGGCAAACCTGGGCAGTGAGATGTGGTGCGGACCTCAGCAGCCACCCTGGTCCCCCTGCATGCTACCCAGGGCTCTGCAGCTCCCCCAGCCCTCGCCTGCCTCTCCCCTCTGGACGCAGGGGCCGGGGAAGGTGGGCTGCAGCCCTGCCGGTGGCTGGCAGCTGCCTTCGTCACAGTTTCCGAAGGATCTGTGGCCACACGGCCCCCGGCTCAGCTGCAAATCAGACCTCGAGGCCACTGGAGACCCTGCAGCCGCTCTGCATGGTGGGGGGCTGCCGTATCTCAGTCCTGGGGCGCAGCCACAGCATCGCTCCCACCAGGC